GCCCAGGCCCTGTAGAAGATGAGGCCTTCTGTTTGTTGGTTGTTTTTGCTTTTAGAAAAAGATTGCTTTAAGTTGATAGAGACGGAAAGTAGAGTAGAGGTTACCAGGGGCTGGGGGAGCCACAGGGAAGGTGGAAGGGGAGGTGCTGTTGAATGAGCACGGAGTTTCTACTCGGGATGATGAAAATGTTCTAGATTATGGATGGTGGAAACGGTTGCACAACAGGGAATAGACTTCCTGCCACTGAACTGTACCCTTAAAAATGGTTTAGATGGTAAATGTTGTTTTCGATGTATTTTACCACAATTTAAAATTTCTAAATAAAAGTTGGCTTCAAACTTTGCCTCAAATCTGCCCACCCTGTGTTCTCCTGCTGAAAGTTTTCTGCATAAGGATCATTTTTCAGAACATTCCTGACAATGCTATCTTGTCATTTCTTCATTGTAGGAATGGATCAAAGATGCCTTATTATATGTTTGTAGCACCTGTTAACAAAATCTGAAATTAGTGAAAATCAATAGCTACCTTGAAGTCCTGGGTTCTAAAGGTAAATTGGAGGATCCTTGAAATTTAGAATTGTACTGCTTTCATGTCTTATAAAAGTAAGGTTTTGTTATCCTAATGGCAATAAAAACAAAACAAAAAGTCACTGGTTTTTTAAATTTAGCATGTAAATCATAGATGTACATCCAGATCATAGATGTAAGACTGGAGAGAATTGTTGTTTGTTTATAATAGATGACTCATTCCCTAAATTTGGCTCAGTATGTTTTTCTTGGTGGTAGGTCGTTTTATTGATGGTTGGAGTCTCATTAACTGTGGTATTTGTGGAAGTGCTAAAGTCTGTTGAGTAATTTTTAATTGTGACTAGAAAATTTAAATCCATATTTAATATTTGCATTTTGGCAATTGTAGCACAGCCCTTGGATCCTAGGCTTTCCAACAAGTACTTTTTCTGCTACCTGTTTCTATAGCACAATCGTGCTTCTCTGTGGCCTGAGGCCCTCTGCTTCCAAGATAGGGGAGGCAGATGTAATTCCTCTATCTTGGTCTAGATGGAGAAATAGAGGCAGAACCACTTAACTATCTAGATTTTTCACTGAAACCCAAAGAACTAGATTGTGCACCAATTTTGTTATTGAATCTCTGTTTGGCATCAAATTAGAATCTGCTGCTGTTAGGAATGTCACTGTTGAGAGTCTGCTATATACTTAAATCTCATTTTATTTGCTTCTCTGGGGGTTGTCTTAGTGTTTTCATTAGAAATGTTTTTACAGATGTAGGCTCTTCAGATATGAAGTTGCTGAACTGGAGGCTCAGAAGTTTAGCTTTCAAATTGAAAGGGGGGGTGGAAATCTGTTTAGAAAGATTAATTTATAGATAAATAATTTACTGACTCTGATACATTAATGTACAATAATCCCTAGAGGCTTTTAAAGATGTAGTCATTATATTCTTAAGGTTTCTAAGAAGGTTAAACCTGTCATTCATGACAGCAACCAAAAGAGGGTCCATTTATAATTTCTTCTTGGAAACACTTCATCTGCAAATTCATAGACAAATATTTTTTTTCTTTTCCAAATAATTTATCCAGTAATTGGACAGCACAGCTCTTTTTT